GGGTGAACAGAAAGGTGACTGAGGCTCAGCCTTAGGTGCTCCCCTTACATGTGCCTCTTTACACACAGAGGCACAACTTTCAGACTGAGCCTCAGTCAATTCTCTGTGTGCGTGCGTGCACGCGCACCTTGGACTGAGCCTCAGTCCCCTTTCTGTGCGCACGCGCGCACACATGTACGTGTGCATACAGAAAGGGGACTGAGGCTCAGTCCAAGTTGCTCCCCTTTCGTGTGTGTGTGTGTGTGTGGTGGAGAGAAAGGGGGGCAGGGGGCTTTCAAAAGTTGCTTTCTGTTTAAAAACTTGACAGAGGCAACCACTTATTCTTTCTGCAAACGCCGGTGAGTTTGGGTCACCAGTTTCACGGTCTGATTTGGAGCCAAAGAGTTTACTGGTCTCAGCAGAACTCCTATGTATAAAAGCAGTTCGTCTCTCATCTGCAAAGTAGCACCCAGTAGTTGGACAGAGATGACACTGGTGCACCTTCTGGAATGATATTGAAACTTTCATGCGCGTACTTAGCATTCAGTGTATAGGTCGCTTCTAGGAGAAGCACGTCAGGGGACCTCATTTTGAGAGGCATTGGACACCCGCAACTCCATCTAAGCTCAATGGGAACTGCACAGGCCTTGTACCTCTGAAACTTGGGTCTGTTTTGGATCGCAGGGCTGTCATCAGCTGATCCTTAGATTAGAAAAAGAGCTCATTTTTAAAAGAAGAAAAAGTCAAATATAATGCATTTCCTGTTATATTTTAAAATGCTTATAGGTTGATAGGAAGGTATTGAATAATTGAAAAAGGAGGGATGTTATTACAATTCCAAATTTAACTTCTAGAGTTAAGGCTATTTAAGATGATAAAGCTGCAACTAATTATTCATTTATCTTATCTCCCAATATAAAAGGAAGAGTCTTGCAGCCTTTTATTGTTACATTTGTGAAGTCAACTTGTATAATACAAGTACTTGGTAAAACAGTTGGCAGGAAGCACTATTGCTTTTAAGGAGCCTGATCTGAGATTTTCCTTTTAAAGAAGTCGGAGGCAGAATTACTCCCCTAAGCAAGCCTGGCCTGCTTTAACGTCCATACTGCTGCCATCGTTTTTATAAATGTTATCCTGGAAAATGCATTACTGTTTGAGCAAGTGATAGCCGACGGTATGGAAGCTCACAAAGGAGCAAGAGCAATGATTCCCAACCAGGGTGCTGCAGCACCCTGAGGTGCCTTGATAACCTTTTGTGGGTGCTGTGGGGTGCTACACAATGCTAGCAGTGTTAGGTGTGTAAATATGATTAGCAGTATAAACTCAAATGGAAATCCATAGTGTTTAAAAAACATTCTGACCTGTTGTGGCCTTTTTGAGGTCTTTACAACGGAAGAATTTCTCTTCATTTTCTGTAGTTTAAATATAGAGTGAAAACTAACAGCTGACACTTTTTCTAAGGGGTGCCTTGAATTCACGATGGTTGAGGACCAGTGGTCTAGAGGTTTGAATCAAAGCTTGAGTCCCGTGAGCTTTGGATCAGGTCCTTCCAATAACTGCCGGTGGGAGCAAACAGATAGCTATCTGTGAAGGATGAAGTCAGCTTGCTGCATATCTTCAATAGAGGCATGTCATCAATTTACCTTAGAAATGCAGTAGAACAGCTGTGGCAAGTTAGTCCTTTTTTTCACTATTGTTCTGACTTTGCAAAAAAAATGGCTGGTCAGATTTTTATTTTCTGATAAGCAGCCACCACCGTTCAACCCAACATAACAGCAGTGTGTTGTAATTAAGTTTTTGGCGACAGATATGCTATAGCTCAAGGTTAACCCTGGATATGTATGTTAAAAAATCATTGTTTACTAGTACGCTAATTTCACTGAATGTTTCTGTGGGGGGAGGAAACACCCTGTTCTATTGAGGACATGGAGCAGCATCAATTTACCAAGTACTTCCTGCAGAACCTCTCTTCCATGCCCCCCAAATCTTCATGATTTTTCCCAGTAAACTGTATTGGCAGTTTACCTAGTTCAGTCTGCATAACAGGAATATATTTTCTCAGTCAGGTGTTGAGAGGGCTTTAGAGTGAATCCATTTTGTCCTTTTTCCTCATTCCTTGTTATTTCTTCAGTTGCAGGCTGTTTTTTGGTACATGATATAAAAATGATATAGCTTGCCTTGAAGTTTGTTTGTTTGTTTGTTTGTTTGTTTGTTTGTTTCTAAAAACAACCAAACCTGCAGAGGATTAACATGTAAATTTATATAGCTTACCCAAAGTGTCTTTGGGGAACAAAGTTTATGAACTCGCGCAGTCAGAATAATCTGAACTCTGGTGCTTTGATTAATTTATGCTGAAAGCCAGTGGTGCTTGTGGACAGATTCTTTTATCTAATCAACAAAAGCTGCTTACAACCATGTTCTTAATTTTACATGGGCTGAGCATGTCAACAGATGCTGGAGCGCTCCCTGACAGAGACTGATGTTCTTTTCTTGCTGGCTACAAAGTGAATGCTGAAGGGCCAGAACAGTGAGAGGTGTATGCCTGAATAACAGGGGCAGGGCAGCCACCACCTCCTTCGAGATGATGATAATTTCTGAGCCATGTGATCTATTCACTGGGATTTAGGGACACGACTCCATGGCAGCACCTCTTGTTAGAGTAAACCCGGTCTTCGTAATCGGCACTTAATCTGCTCTTCAGCGGATCCAACTCGCATGTTTACTGGAAAAGGAAGAAAGAATTTTATGAGCATTACTTTAATAAGGTATTCTGGTGGTAGCCATATTTAATCTGGAGGCAAAGGGAATCAGAACTTATAGTAGAGGTGCTATCTTCTATTAGACCAACTAGATTTCTGCAAAAATCTTTAGAAGAATCTAATTGGTCTAATAAAAGATATCCTCTCTACCATGAGTTCTGATTCCCTTTACTAATTTAAGAAAGCATGTCACTCAATCTGCTGGTTCCAAATTATGGAGGATTAGTTTGGATTCTTCCCAGTTTTGCCCCATGTGTTCTCAAATATCATTAAAGAGTGTTTCTGTGAGGTTGCAGGGCATTATGGGATAATAAGTAAAGCTGTCACTCCAGAGCTGGGAATACATTGTAAAGATCGGAAAAAGCTGTGGCCTGCAAGCTTAGTGTCTCTTAAATTTGCCCAGCAAGTTAGAGGGCTGGCATCTGCTTAAATAGCTTGAGATGCCGAGTGCCAGTAATGTTGGGGTTTTTTTGTTTTTAACAAATTTAGCTTGCAGGTCACGATGTTTAGGTTTCCATTTTTGTCATTGTGTACACAAGAACTTACTATTTAAAATCAGAAAATGAATGACTTTATGGCTTGTGTGTATTACAACCCCCCTCTAGCCACCACTTCTCAACTAAGTCAAGTGTAACCCAATATTTTTGGCTACGTTTTTAAAAGAATTCTACTTAACCTGGTGATGCACACTTTAATTTTCCTGACATATTGGTAGTGTTACAGTGTTGGTGCTACCATACTGATTAAATTAAACCAAAGCTGCTCATTGAGAAATCTTCATATTAATAATAAGCACAAAGCATAAGTGTTCTGAAGATACAAACACTTCTAAATAAGATGTTCAGTATATAAAGTTTGTATGCCCAATTTATGGTTTTGCTTTTTTCTTGGGGTGTGGGGGTTTGAGGGGGGGTTGGGTTTTTGGAGTTGAGGAAGAGGTAGTTCAATCAGCAGCAAATCAAATATAATTTCCTTCTTTTTTTTAGGCAATGGTTTGTTAGGCTACATTGACACCAAATTCTGTTGTTTGAGAAACTGTAAGTAGATGCCATGCTGCCCAGAGGGAGCTTAATTTTAAATTAATCTTATACAGCATGTCTTAAACCCTAAGTACCGAATGAAAGTCAAAACTCAAAATGATGCAGAAATCTTGGGGAGGTATCCTGGAATTGTAGTGGTATACAGCTGGCAGTTAGGGCTCCTGACCTCCTCTTTTAGGTACAACATGAAATAAAGCAGGGCGAGTGTAATAGTGAAGGAGCATAGGAAGAAGTGATAGCAGAGTTGTAGGTAGAGTGTGGTGCTCCTTGGCCTGAAAAATGAGTTGCCTAGTGGAGGGCACTGGGGGCTGACATGCCCATGGCATGGCAGCAGGATGCGTCTGCCTTTTTTTAATGCGATAATACTCTTGCACAGAGGCAGAAATAATTCAATTCTTGAAAGAACTAATACCCCTTAACAAATACTAAGAACAATGTTGCCCATGTTCTGTTTTGGCTCCCTGCCCATAAACCCTGAAGTCCTACTAGAAAGGCTTCTCTTCTCAAAGTTGAATAAATAAATGACTTATTTGACAATGTAACCTGTTTCTGGTAGCATGGTGTGAGTGCTGATGA